CTTCTAGTTTTTAAAACTCAAATGTCATCCTAACAAAATGCAGCCGCCGGTATAAATAGCTCCGCTTTCTTGTAACTGTGCGGACGGTGTCCCTACACTTTTTGCTACCCGAGGCCGGAGGGGGGGGCAGGTTTGGGGGTGGGGGCACATGTTGCAGGGGGGATTGGGTGCTGGCAGTGCACATTAAAGTGGGGGGGATGAGGGGTTGTGCTGGCATTACCGAGGGGGCGGTACTGCTGGTGCACCTCTGGCTTCGGCTCTGTCCGGCGTCCCGCCCAGCTCACTGTTGTCACTGGTTACCAAGAGCTGGGCTTGGTCAGTCAGCGTCCCGCTCAGCTCCTGGCAACCAGTGACAACAGTCAACCGGGGCGGGATGCCTGCCAGCTTTTAGCAACCTGGGTAGTTTGGGCTAGAAAGGGGGCTGTAGGGTTAGGGTTACCCCCGCCGCCTACCCCCCCCAGTTGACCTAATGAGATGCAACTGCCCAGGGGCGTACCTAGAAATCACAGGGCCCCATAGCAACATTTTGTATGGGGCCCCCGGGATTGCTAGTTATGCCCCTTGCAGAGCCCGCCTGATATACCAAACAGCCCACCTGAGAGTGACCCGCCAGAGCCCGCCATAGACTCTCTATAGTGGGCTCTGCAGGGTCTCAGATGGGCTGCACGCCTCTTACCTGTCAGCGCTGTCCGCCTCTGTGGTCGCCGGGCCCCGCCTCCTCTTCCATCCCCATGCCCCGCCTCCTCTTCTATAGATGGGCCCCGCCTACGCTTACATCACTGGCCCCACCTGCTCTTAGGCCGCTGGCCAGTGATGTAAGAGGAGGCGGGGGTTGCTCTTAGGCGGGCCCCGCCTCTTCCTTCACTGTGAACGCCGGCCTCTTCTTCCGTGGCTGCCTGCTGTCGCTGACACAGCTCCGCAGCGGCTGTGAGGGGGAAACGTGCCGCGGCCGCTGCACACATCACCGACAGGTTGTCAGTGATCTTCACAGCCGCTGCTGAGCTGTGTCAGTGACAGCCGGCACCCTTACATGCCATAGCGACCCAGGCGGCCCACACAGCATCAGAGGGATGCCCTGGCCGGGCCCCATAGCGGCCGCCTGAGTCGCTATGGCGATTGTTACGCCCACTGCAACTGCCTCATTTTAGGGACTTCTTACACCCGTCACAATACATTTACATCTTGTTTGGTGGACTGGTATCTGGTTTTGGAACCAGGAAGGAGGAAACCTTTCACCCCCCCCCTGTGATCGGACTGCAACATTGTAACTTTGTAGCAAGTCACAAGGTTAGAGGCATGGGGCTGATCTGTGTCATGCATCATCTGTGGTCTG